TGCTTCAATCAATTTAAACCAGAATGAGATAAGTTGTTACCATGAACAGAAGGGATTCCATTTTGCAGGAAAAATCCTCCAAGGTTCAGTTTGTACGTAATATGACAACGATATACGATGTAAAAGTAGTAGTAGCAATTTTTCCATGCACATACAGTCGTTTCAACTGGATGATGACACACTGATTATCAAGAATGGGATCATACTATCATAAACGTGCGAGTCACAAGACGCGGGTTTTACTGTTTCCAGGAACTAAATCGACCTTTCGAAAGTTTCAATTACGTGGAATATATATTTATATAGACCAGGGGAAGTTCCAAATGAATCGAAAGTCAAATGCTAAGTGATATATAAATTCTATAAATAGGTAAATAATCATTCGAAGGCACACGGTAAAACGCGGAATCAATAGTGAGTTGAGAGTGACGCGCAAACTGGATTTATTAGCAAAGTAATGCGTGGTTTGTGGAAAACTTCACGCTTATTTAGTATTTCAAACCTTTCGATCCGTAAGCCCAGATCTTGATCAGAGCTAATGATAGCCTGTGTTCCAGTTGTAGTGGATGAGGTAGTTGACTCGAACACAGGCTATAGACAGGGGCTTGTACAGTACATGGGAAATTCGAGTGCGAATTTTTTACATTTAAACCTGACCATGCAACTATAGAGCCTCTGGCAGGAATCGGATCAGAGCAATGGCACTCAGCCCGTTTACGCGAGCCAGCCCAGGTAATTGCATTTATATGGAAAATTCCCCTGCCCGGTCACGTAAATACAGTTCTGGAAAGAACAGCAAATGCTCAAACATGTTTTGAGAACTGCAAATCGAGGGTATAGTTCAAATTCTTTAAATAGTTGTCTACTGGCATTCAGGCTGCTCCATTTACTGTTCGGAGGAATCCAGATTTTTGGAACACTAATAGCGAGAACGGTCACATGACTGTCTTGGCTGCCCCTACTCGAAAGTATAGGGGTAGTGACAGTCAGAACAGTCATGTGACTGTTTTCGGTGCGATTCTGTTGGTGTTCCGAAAATCCGGAGTACTTCGAACAGTAAATAGAGCAGGCTGATTACCAATATATATTATAGCCTGCCAAGACTACACATAGCCAAACAAGCAAATCGAGTGAACAATCCCGCCCGTATTTTGTGTAAGTTCAAGAAACTGTAACTGTACTTTCACACCTTGAATCATAGCCAAAGATATTGCTTTTAAAGTGTTTTAAAGATAATTTATCAATCATGGCCATCCATTTCAACAACGGCATATATTGTTTATTGTTTACGAACGCAGTTGATCTGAAGTACAAAAGCGGTCACGAGGTGCCCAAAAAGTTCATCATGCACGTCGTATATAAAATCAATCCTGCGCGTGCAAATCACAAGAGACCAATTTACCACTCTCGAGATTTCGATTGGAACATTTTTTACTGTTATGAAAAGATATGACAGTAACGGAAGTTGTACTTGATAAATCAGAATAATTAAAATACGGAAGTACTGTGGGGCAATGCATACATGTATGTTGAATCACAAGTTTTAATTAAACAAAGCTAAGCAAACCCTCGGCCCAGACTGCAGAGTATGGCAGTTTTCGACGAGATCTCGGGTGTGCAAGACAAAAATTCAGGTGTGCAAGTGTGCAATCCTCAGTTAACGTAGTCAAGTGTGCACTTGTAAATAGCTACATGTTCTAATGATATTATTAAAACAATGATTGTTTATTTGTACAAATAACTAAAATTTCTGCCTCTCAGGAAAACAAAACGTGGTCCAAATTCTGACGAACAAACAAGAATATATATTTCGATCGGAGTTAAAAGTCATTATGAACACGTACAAAATAGCGTGTTTTTGACACACTTTGTGTCCTGTAAAAGGAAAATGTGCATGTCCTTGTAATTGAGTTGTAAATGGAAAAGTGTGCACTCGAAAATGCCATTTCCGACAATGTAGGGACTCCAAATTTCAAAAATTTTCCGCTCGGCGCCAACCATGATGGCGCCTCGAGAAAATCGTTTTCAGGTGGTTGTTATATTACACTTGTCTTAGAAGTCCTTATTTTAATGCCTGACAAAACTGGAAAATATTTGAAATATGTTTAAGTGTGCAATACCATTGGCCAAAAAAAATCTCGAGTGTGCACTTGCCGTACTCTGCAGTCTGGCCCTCGGCGCGATTCACTAGGAAATGACTCGAAATAGCGTTGTTCTGTATGTCAGGTCTTTTCATTAACCATTTTATTATTTCACTTCTGCTGCCTTTAGAGCTCGCGCATACTGTACCAATTCACAAGCGAATTTTCTCTTCCTGGCGGATGCAAATGAGTTTTCCGCATATACACAAATATAAATATGCGAGCTAGTAGCCGGATGTACAAATGTAATAGACTTATATATATATATGTCCCACAGTCCCAGATATAACCGTACAACAGAAGGGGGAAGAACGTTCGCAGAAAGGTATATTAATTGAAGACCGGAATAGCATTGATACAAACATTAGAAAGTTGAATTATTTGAATTCTATAGAAACTCTTTGCCTTTGGATGCGTAGAAAATGTCTTCACTCTGAGAGTTCATAGACGATTATGAACAATTATTTGTTCTTGTACTTACTGTATGTATATAATCTACATTATTAAAGTACTGTAGCAATGTAACTAGAGGACCATGCACAGAGTCGGCAGTATCATGTATACTGTCAATTGTATGTTATATTCTATAAATAAAGTTTCTAAAACTATCCTACATAAACGATCTTATTGTGGATCGGTCATGTCATGGTAGTCGATAAAGTGTATGTCATAATATATAAACACAATGCCTGTGAATTGTGATCTATATCACGAGTTGTGATATAAACCATGATTTGTATTTTGTATATAGTCACGCGCTTTCAATATTTATATATTTGGAAGAGTAACCTATTCATCACGAGTTATACTGTATATTATACAGTATAACTCGTGATGAATAATGATGAATAGGTTAAGTGTATATATTTGCAGTAATATATATCACACAACTATGATCTATTTTGTCATATTTGGCGCCTCATAAAGTTCCAAACGAAGTGCCCGGGAAATTCCCGCACAACCACTCAACCAGTGAAAACGTCGCCAGACAGACTCATATTAATTAAGATATCTGTGGACAGACTACTTAATAAGTGATATAAATTCTATAAATAGGTAAATAATCATTCAACGGCATATGGTAAAGCGTGGAGTCATGTAATACTGAGTTGTAGAATACGGTCTGAGAGTGACGCTCAAACTGGATTTATTAGCAAAGCGCGGGCTGGACTGCTGTGGTTTGTGGAAAACTCGACGCCCATTTAGTATTTCAAAAAACCCAGACTCCATCAGAGCTAATGGTAGCCCGTGTTCTAGTTGAAGTGGACGAGGTAGTTGGACTGGAACACAGACTATAGCGCATTGGGACGATCTAGGGCCGACTTTCTTGACCTCTACAACAGACATTTGCGACTTTTAATGCAGTCTCAAAGAAAACTCGTTGACTTGGTGGCCAACTATACACAGTACAACGAACACTGAACTCAGTTAGTGAAATCCGGACTTCAATAGACAATTCCCATTTAATAGACTATTTTTATCTTGGCAAGGAAAGTATATTCCCGGAAAGAGCGCACCAAAATTAGTAAACTTGCAAAGTTTGGTTGCGAAATGCTGTAAAATGCGGAAAATATAGCCTTGCAAAGTTAGCAAATTTTGTATACTTTTGTATTGCGTGCGGAAATTGCTATACCGCATTTGGGCCGAAAGGTAGCAATTTCCGCACGCAATACAAAAGTATACAAAATTTGCCAACTTTGCAAGGCTATATATTTTCCGCATTTTACAAACATTTCGCAACCAAACTTTGCAATTTACTAATTTTAGTATGCTCTTTCTAGCTGTGGTGAATTATTTGCATCTCCTTGCCTAATTTTAAAATTAATCTATACTGCGAATTGTCTATTGGGTCAGCATGATAGTAATATGCATGACTGGAGTGAACTGATAAAATAGGAACGCTAAGCGTACATGTATCTGCGCAAAGAAATTGCATTGTTCCTATGAAAAAAATTTCATTCTCAATTATTGAGTAAACATTTATATATTTTTGAAGTGACTATACTGCCGGCAGCCGGCTATTTAGTAAACTGCTGGCTATACAGCCGGCTATTTAGTAAAATGCTGGCTATATAATAGTCTCCTTCGCAACAATCTCGTACCCAGAGCAATGCCTGTGCGCGGACTAGAAAGGCATTGGCTCTGGGGAAATTGAATTTTTCCTGTACTGTGATTGGTTTAACGTTTATGAATCGTGCATGCCGACAAAGAACCGGAACCCCTAAATTTAGGGGTTCTAGTTGTCAATTTCCCCAGAGCCTTCCTAGCCCGCACACAGGCATTGCTCTGGGTAACAAAATAATTATGAATATATGAATAAACCAACCAATATTAAAATAAAACCATCGATATTATTAAAAAAAAACATGCACGGTCACTCACGAAAAAGCTTTACCATGTTACTTTGGGCAACCTTCTAGGATATAACAATCGGACAATTTAGCAGTCAGCCAAAGTCAAACCTCGAGTCAAACAAAGTCAGTTTCTCTTCACCCTGTAGAAAGCCGCCATCTTTGTTTTATGGCCTGTTCGCAGGCGTACAAGCCCTAATTAGTGGACCTGAGTGTTTAACGCACGCACACACACCCCCACAACTCGATAGCATAGTATCTAGCGCTACGCGCAGTGAATCGTGGATTGGTTAAGGGCTATTTCTGTAATCCGGAATGCCATTTCATAGGCTGGGAGCTTTTTTTTTTAATTGCTTCATTATCCCGCCTTACACAAAACCTATTTTGGGGTGTATATTAGCTACTAAGGCTTCTGTAAATATTTTTCATTACTTTAGCTCGCAAATACGCCAGTTGTAAGAAGAGGAGCCCAGCTGACGCACTATGCATATCAGAAAGGTAAATTGAAACTATTATTAGACACTGTAGTGACTTACGTGTCTTCTGATTGGCCAGTAGCTTACGACTGAATATGAAATTCACGCAACCACACAAATTCAGTTACCTGCTAGCAGATAACTGAATTATGTGCATGCATGTGGGTTGAGCCTGCGGCATGTAATTTTTTAGCAAACGGCAAAAAGCAGACATTTTTATCCTTTTTGACATTTTTATCAGACTACTTTAGTAGATAAGTGCATTAGACTTCTAATATTTTATCCTGTTTTTGCGATATTTTGAATCGTTTTCACTGCTTTTGCCTTTTTTTTTCAGAACCAAACGTTTTGTGTGACAAATTATTTTTTATCGAAGGAATAATTGAATATAGTTATTGAATTAGGTCTTTGTGATATCCCGAATTATCATGGTCTCGGTAAGTATTATCAATCTTGCCTTCGGCTCGACTGATAACACTTACCTCAACCTTGATAATTCTGGATACCTTATTTCATAAATATGTAGCCTACAATACATACAGGCAATTCAAAAAACTGGTTGTCCTTTTCGCAAAACTCTAAACCTTAGGGGGCGATTACATATAGCATTTTCAAGCCCGGGGTTGAACTCAGCCCTGTTTACCGGGTTGAAATTTCAGCCCTGTCTGTAATACAAAACTCTATCATAATCAAACGCGCGATTACATGACAAAATTTTCAACGCCGAGTTCAACCCTGCTTCAGCTAGCAGGGTTGAAATTTCAACCCCGGGGTTGAACTCAGCCCAGCTGGGTTGAAAATTGTGTCATGTAATCGTTTCAGGGCTGAAATTATCATGAGTTATTCGAACATGCGCATGGTAGTGACTATTTATTACAAGAAAACAAAATGAAGGCTTTCTTTACTCCGGGAATCAATGCCGAGAAGGTATAGTATAGCGTTTCAACCCCGGACTTGAAATCGTCCATGTAATCGCAAAAATTTCAACCCAGTTAACAGGGCTGAGTTCTACCTCGGGGTTGCATGAAAGTTCTCCATATAATCGGCCCCTTAAACTCAAAGCGCGCAAAGCTTAATGGGAGCACAAGTTTCAAGCTTAGTAGTTGAATATTGCCACAGTTAATACTACAAAGTACTAGAGGACATGCCGAGACTTCATTCCTCTGCCACCGAATTAAGTTGTGTATATCATGCATAAAATGTCAAAATTTTAACTTGAATTTTACGTTTTCATTACGTTCCTGGATACATATCTTCTAGTGTAACTTTACTCTTTCGATCACTTGTCATCCGGGCAGGTGGCATGGTTATGAATATCGTTTGCTCTGAATAATAGTTTACTTAATACTTGTCGCTACGTGTTACTCACCTTCAGCACATGTAAATAACAGAAAAATAGCGAGAGGAAAATTCAAGACGGAAAATATTTCACTAAAATGGGTAATGGTTGTTTATGTTTACTCATTAGCATGCACAAATTGGGAATAACACCTTAATAATGAGATAAACAGCTTTTCTGTCAAATCTACAATCTGGACATGAAAGTTCTGAGACGGCAGAAAATAGACACTATTTCAAAGTTTGTTTGTCTTTTTATCACTTAGGAATGAAAAAGTTGACAGATGTATCTGAGACAGGAAAAATGCCATCGGGAGAAAAACCAATGTCGTTATCTTCGTTTGCAAGAACATTTGCGAGAAACTTACAAAAAGAAATTGACAAGGAAATCAAAAAATAAAACCTGTAAATATTCGTAATTTGTAAATAAAATCGACCGACACCTGCGTTCAGTTTATGCCATTCACTCACGTTTATAATGGAAAAAATATAGCCTATAGCTTAATTAGAAGCCTGAAAAAGTACCGCCTAAAATCACACTGTATCTGAAACAAAAACACTAGCCTACGTCGTATATGGACTCCAGCTTACAGGCCTAAAAAATATATTCTTCCGTTTAGGTTAATTATAAAACTTCCTCATTCTCCTGCATGCATATTATGTATTGATTTCAGAGAACGTATAAGACATTCTCGACTAGTAAAACGCTTTTGGAATTTTTGAACAAGTAAATTATATGGCATACCAGTGTATAGGAAGACAAAAATTTTCTACAAGATGTAAGAATATTTCCTGCGAAGATATTAAAGACGATTGAACCTTTAATTGTGGTTTTCAGATTGCATGAAGCGTAGTATGCTACAATACTGTTTTGCAGCTTTTTAACCGATTGCTATGAGTCAGTGAGCTGCATGTGTATCTGGAGTGAGAACTCGTGTCCAAAAAGTGAAGCCAAGATGGAGCTATAGACCTTTCCCCTTTTAAGTGAAATTTTGATCTAGACTAGCCTGGACAAAAATTTCATCACAGCTTGAAAGAGCATCACAAAATTAGTAATATTCCGAAGTTTCGTTGCGAAATGTTGTAAAATGCTAATAATATAGCCTTGCGAAGTTTAACGTTTTTCAGTCATTTTGTATTACAAACGGGATTTTATTAGCTAGGAAATCGTATAATCAAATACTCACTGAAGAATTTAAAGACTTTTAAAGACTTTCTTCGCTTTTTCACACAATTCAAAGACTTTTTAAAGACCTTAAAGACCTGCATTCAAATTTAAAGACTTTCAAAGATTTCAAAGACCGCTACGAACCCTGCGTTTACAACCTTTATAGATTTTGGACGGTCAATATCCGCCATCTTGGAACTTGGGTTCAATTTTATAGCTTAATCCTTCCAACTTTATAGCTTAATCCTTCCAAGTTTTGATTATGCTGATATTATTTGGGGATAACAATAATGTGGAACAATGGGTTCCTTGCAAATATTACAAAATAAGTCTGCTGAAGTAATTTTGATAGGCCGTTGTACTCATCAGCGACTGCATGCCCTTCAGTCTCGATTCGGCTGGAGGACCGGCGTAGATACTGTACCATACAGTAGGTGTCTGTATCTCTTTAGGTGCCTTAATAATTTAACATCGCACAGCTTGGCTTTTTTCAAAAATACTGATATTCATTTAGTACAATACTGGGAGCAAAGATAATCTTTAGCCCTGAAGTAAGCAAAAACTGGGGCAGCAAAGTTAAGGAATGGAACGACCTTAGTCAGTACGTTATATAGAAATTCAAGTAGTGTTCAAGCCTTTAAGCGTAATTTTCTAGCTGAACTTTTATCTTAAATTATCTGTAAATTTATATACGTATTAGAACTTTGTAATCTATATACAGCGAATTCAAAAAAGGTTGTCCTTCGAAAATCTCAAACCTTAAACTCTAAGCGCGCAAAGATGGGTAACTTCTTTTTACTAGGATTATTTGCCTAATCAAAAGCACTACACTGCTAGTTGTATATCTTAAGTGCTTATTATCTGTCTTGCCGTTACAATGCAAAATTCGCACGTTTTAGGCCTTATGTAAGAAGTTACCCATCACACCTTGCGCGCTTAGAGTTTAAGGTTTGAGATTTTTGAAGGACAACCTTTCTTGAAACAGCTGTATTTATATTAGGACCCTATAACTTATGAACTATGTAAACCTTATTTTTATGTATCAACTATCAAGGGTGCATGTACGCGCTAGCTAATTACAAAACGCCAATGAACTAACCCACCCTCCCTTGGAAAAAATATTGACCGCCCTACATTGGGATTTCAATGTAATGGCATAATTATTTTTCGTCGATTTTATGCTTACAATGAACCCATTGGCCCAATTTACACGGGCGTTGTAAAAACCCGGAATGCTGGAATATCACGGAATATGCCGGAATATCGCGGAACATCACGTCATTTTTCCGGAATATTAAATAATCTTGGGATTTATAATAAAAATATAATTAAAAATTTGCTCATACTAAACATCAGCCAGCGGTGTAGATGACACGTTTTTATCACAATTAGACTAGGTCATTTGATGCGCAGTCGAAACTCCGAACCGATTGTTGTTCTGTCTAGACCGGTAGCGCCATGGCAGCGCATCAACTATGCAAAAATTATGGATGTTGGCGCCATTTCATGTGGCCACTCAAGAAAGAGAAAAATCAACAGATGTTGCTAAAATGTAGATGTTGGAATGCTGTTTGTTACTGTATAGCGAAATTAAGTATTGTAGTCAAGAATTTGAATCATAAACTTTTTGATAGGCCAACAAAATCGTGTAAATAAAGTCGCACGAAATTAAGTACGAATAAGGTACAATCAAAGTTTAAAACAACGTCCGCTCCTCAGTTTCTAACTTTTACATGTAACTCATTTCTATGAGCAATATGTTAACTCAATCTTTCCCAAGGATGACTTGGAAATTTGTCCACAGGCTATGGGCACTGCATCTACATTACTTATAAGAAAACAAATTTTAAAATATCAAATTAACTTTAAATGTTAATTAGTCGATTTATCATTAGATAAATGCTCTCAGTGGGAGAGTTGAAATTAACATCTGCACAATATGTCGACGATCCACATCTGTAAGCTTGGCAGTGTCAGAGAAACAAAGCATCATTGTATTGTTGAAGTAGGAACGACGCTTGAGTATACAGCAGGGATTGGGATTTTCATTTTTACAGGGTTCTTGTGAGGATACTCATCTTTAATGGAGAATTACCAATGTAATGATATTCCGCAAAAGTCCGTGATATTCCGGGTTTTCACAACGCCCCCAATCTACACTACAGGGGTTTCAGAATGATTTGAAGTAGGCGGTTGTACAAAAAAAGTAGCTGGCTGTGACCATGATAGTTAAAAAGGGGAGCGTGCCCTCGCATGGAAATTTAAAAAATTTTCGCCGCAAATTAACAATCAATATAGAATAAGTAAAAAGACAAAGTACAACTGTTAACATGTTAAATTTAGATGTCATTTGCATTTATACTTGTAGGTGACAATGCATACTTTAATGTGCTACTAGTTTTACAGCTGCATGAACAGAATGACAATGTACACTACAGTAATAGTATATTAATTTGTGAGTCCGAAATCATTAATCGAATGATGTTATACTTATGTACGTACGTAATGAACTTCACTTCATCACTTTTTCTTTTTTTGCTATGTTTGGTACTATGCATTATAATTCATCTTATTGATCTTCCAAAATAAGTGATGTTTTGTTTGAATTCAGGGCTTGAATTTTTGAATTCAGGGCTTGAATTTTATCGCGGCAATTGTCGTAGAGGGAGAACAAATCATCATTGCGGCAACGACGGCAATTTTTTGCCGTTTAGTATAATTTTGAAACTGTTCACTGCATGTGCAATACTATTTTGATACTTGAATTCAGATGTTGATCAAAGAATCCGTAAATTACTCTTTTAATCTCAGTTTTCTTCGAAAAAAACAATAAAGAAATACGTAAACATGTTTCTATAGCTTGTCATCAATCCAAATTAACAATAAAATTAAATTTTTATTACAGTAATTTGAAAAAATGCCGTGGAAACTGACAAAATTGCCGTAGACAGCTGTTACGTTCTACGGCAATTTTTAACGCCATTGCCATCGATTGATTTTAGGGAAATTCGAGGCCTCCTTGAATTCCAATTGGAACATAACAAACATCGTGTTGGTTCGCTTGTACCTTTGTATATAAATTTTTTCCTGTGACCAGACGAAAAGTAGCCGGAGGTAAAAGTTCAAGTAGCCGGCGGAACTCCGCCGGCTTAAGCCAGGTTCACATATATGCCTGTGACGTGCATGCCTGCGACGTACCGGCGACGATGCCGGTGGTAGCTTAAAACGTAAATTATGTGAATATTTGTTCGCCGATTGCCTCCAATGCCACAGTTACATCGGCGGTAGGCCGGGAAAGTTGACTTGAGCTGAACTTTGCCGGTATTTCGGCGGCAAGTAGAGGCATAATGATACAGTCGCAGGCATACCGCAGGCATATGTGAACCAGGCTTTATTCTGAAACCCCTGACACTACATTTCATCTTCTATTGGGATACAGAAAAAAGACGTATATCGAATGCACTTTAGCATACACTATAAAGAATCCTCTGAAAAGTATAATTTGTATCATAACAGTTAATTTGATTTTCTTATATAGTTTTCAAAAATAATGCATGCATGCACAACATAAAAATCTTACATATAAATGTTCGCTATATAGGGACAACATAACGAATATAATTACTCTCATAATATCTAGATTGATTCTCTCCATTTTTTCAAACATACACATAAATTTCTACTAAGATAAATGTTCTCTTTATACTTTCTCGACATAATTCGAGGGCAACATGCCGGTTTCTCCTGTACGCATGTTGGTACCCTGCATCCATCCTTCACCAACTATCTCACCATTACTAATCATGTCTCCTTCTTTCAGAGAAATCTCATCTCCATCTGCTTTATCATAGTCATATATTGCCCTGTAACGCTCCTGGATTCGAAAAAAGAAAATTAACGCAAATCAATCCAGGGTTCGATAAATGTAAATTACTGTACGCGCCGTAGGCACGCCAATATCCGGGTCTGGCACTTGCTTTTCTAGCTACGTAGCGGCCATTTCATGGCCATGTCGCTGAGTTTTCGCTGAATGGCGTCATGAGATCAGTCAAAAAGTTTCGCTTTTTTGTTTTACTTTGCTTTGATCTATTTGCAACAAAATAAGGCTCAATTTGTACGTTTAATTAAAATGTTCTTAGTTATACCTGAGTCACCTATAATATTGTTTTGGAGCATTCAAACTTTAATTAACGTTAAAATTCTATCAATAAAGTAAAAACTTTGCCGACTGTATCATGAAATACTTTCGTAATTAGTTCATTAATATTCAATACACGTCAGCATGTATAATCTACGCATGCTCTGTTAAGCTCGTCTTAGCTGGGGATATGTGATTTATTCACCCCGAGGTGCCTCAAAATAACGTACTTATTTTTCACATTGCGAGGTCGCGTTAATGAGTTAGAATAAAAATAATTCTTAATGCCATATTGCCTTCGTTATGTTGTTTTTTTCTTCTCATTTTTTGTGCTGCAAAGACATTGCAGGTGAATATTAGAGGGGATTATTAAACGGGAATTGATTAGAGGGGAATATTGAATATATTCCCCGATAAGAACAAAGGAAACCGAGCAGGGTGAAAAATAAGGAAAGAAAGTAAACTTACTTGTACAGGAGGAGGAGGCTGAGCAGCCTCAGCAGGGATTTGAACATTCACTGACACTGGTGCCATTGGTTCAGGTTCTGGTGCAGGAGGGGCCCGAGTATAACTTGAAGTGTCACGCGGAGCTTGAAATAAAGAAATGTCAAAATATTTTAACTACTGATCTGCACTGGGGGAACTATGCACTAATGCACTTGGATGTCCATATACAGTATACTGTAAACGCGTAGTAATTTATACTATTATAAATAGTTACACAACCAGATCATTGCAATATGGACAGGGGGCTGCGCAGCTGGTGGAGAGGGCGGGAGGGGTGACCGTGGGACATGTGCTCCGCCACTTTTAAAAACTCAAAAAGCGTCTTTTTTCTTGAATGAAAAAGTCCTCTTTTTCTTGATCAAAAGTGCCCTTTTCCGATGATAAGCGGAATCCAAGTGCTTGCCCCGAGCGTGCAGGGAATGTTGTTGCATAGACCTTATAATTCCAACTTTTTCCAGCGGGAGTTGCCGCCGGACTACATAGTTTTTTTCCCTACAGTACATTGATACAATCGGTCACATAGTTATTTTTGACAACAAAAAAGGCACTTGGTACATAACTGACAGGTGTCCCTTTTTTGGCTGCCTCCCCTACTTCTACAGTAAGTTGCTTGCACGACCTTTGGAGAAACAAGACGTGAATGACTTTGTGATATTTAGATTTTATTACAAAATTATCATCACTGACATCAGACTACCTAGCAACCAATTGGCAATTCCAGCTTTTAGTTTATGCGTGCAGGGAATGATGGGAAGTAAGGTATCATATTGCTGATTATGCTGAAAAAATAAAAATGGTGGCCCTATAAACACGGAGTGATAGCTTATACTTGTAAATATTGAAATATTTCGGTTGTTTCGGCAGTTGTTATTGAAAATTTTCAGCATAATCGGCAATATGATACCTTACTTCCCATCATCCCCTGAACGCATAATCTAAAAGCTGGAATTGCCTATTACGCAAGATATTTTTACAAAGGGCAATTAAGTTCCTTGCTCATAATCCTCTCTCTCAAAATACACTTACATGCCATCACACTTTTCATTGCACACCTTCAATTCCTGGTCGGGATTCCTGCCCGAAAATTATTTTGAAACTAATCTGAACTCTTGTAACTAGTCTGAATACTTGATGAGCAATGAAATCGAAATATCACGAACTCACGTCGTTTTACTCTAATACATACAGTATATTGGGTTTCAAGACGCTAATTTTCGGTTTTGTTTTGAACTTACGTTCAGCAGGTCTACTTTGAGGAGGATGGCTCCTGCTTTCAGCTGTGTACTGCAATTGGCTAGCTTGTTTTCCAGCTCTCTTGGCGCGCTCCGTTTCAGGATCATCAGCAATTGGGGTATAATGCCCCTTCTCTTCAGCAAACTTTTTATGATATTCAATCTATATCGGAAGATGTGCAAATACAAGTTAGAAATGCAAGGAACTTCCTGATTGCACTGCCACAGCAGTGTGGAACAAAATACGAAAATAATATGCGACAATTCAATAAACAATTTTTTGGTAAAACTCGCTCCAGGCCTGCTTCCTGTTAAGCGATGGGTATACTGTAGAGCTACAGCATATACAAAGTTCCAACAACCCCTCTCCCCTTCTTTAAGTGATGAGTCTAAGATGACCGAATTTATTTTTCAAAATTTTAGGGTTTCTCCTTCGATAGAACTACTGTAATAGTAAATTTTCGAACTCAAATTTATATACATTTACAAACCTTTTAAGTTGCGAAAAATGCAACTTTAGCCCTCTGGCAGGAATCAAACTGTGTCAGCCCTGTGATTCCAGTGCAGCGCGCTCTAAGTCTCTAACCAACTGAGCTACTTTACAGACTCACTACAGAGTCCAGTTGCTGAGCGTAAACTAGAAATTCATGTACAGTATATATGAAGAAGTTGTACCAGCAGAAGAAATATGGGTACTTATCGATATTTTGGGGCATCTCGTTCGATAGAACTTGTTATGAACAGATGACTAAATGAAGTAGGTATAGTTTACCGCCATATATCGCGGGCGCGGACCACGTTGTTATGACTTATGAAGTATATATTATACACTTAATGTCTGCTCCCGAGGGAAATAGTTAGTTTTGTTTTCCCGAGAATCTCAATGTTTCCCGAGACGAAGTCGAGGGAAAATTAAGATTCGAGGGAAAACAAAACTAACTATTTCCCGAGGGAACAGGCATTAAGTGTTTTGTTATATAGCGACGAACAAAAATCAACTTCAACAACATTCATACAACAATTGTATTTCGTGACGAAAACTCTATAGTGTAAACGAGTTTAAAATTAAAAGAACCTACTTACACGGTTTCAGCAGCATATCCTGTTGCCTGTTGTGTATTTTTCTTCTCTTTTATATTCTTTATTTGAACACAAACTTGGAAAATCGTAGTTTCTAATTATCTGAGTTGTGCCTCCATTTTGTTTATTTATGTACGTGGCCGGTCAGGGCGGGCAACAATTTTTCACTTGTTGCCCGGCGGGAAACATTGCATTTATCTGAAGTCACGTGACCACAAATCAGCCAATCACGTTTGGTGTTCACGCTAGCTATATAACAATATGTTTTGTTCATGCATTCTATAATTTTCTATTGTTCATTCGAGTTGGCGGTTGAAAGTTGAAACTACAATAAATTTGTATTAAAAAGATTCTTGAGCTAAATTTTAGGCAAGAACCAGCGGCGACAGACTACGTTCTCAAGGTTGGTGGGAATAGAGCTAATAGTAGATGTTTTTTTGTAGACAGAATTTAGGTACATATTTATGTGTAAATGAAAATTCCATCCACAAAAAGGCATCTACTGTACTAATTTATTTATTTTTAAGTTGTTAACCAGCTCGATAAGTGGGGGAGGGGACATATTCATATATTCGTATTCACAGACCGTAAAAACAATCAATTTCAAAAGAAATTAATAATGCAGAACACGAATATATGAATATGCCCCCCCCCCACTTATCGAGCTGGCTACGCCACTGAAATAATCTGAAAGTAGGGCACAAGATGGTGCATTGCCACTTTAATAAAGGTTATGTGCCAATCAATTTATACTGTTCACATCCCCCTGGGCGTACCCTTGCCTTGGGCATTTGAACTTTTTGAAATTTTGTGATTAAATTTCCCACCCCCAGGACAAAAATGCCGTTCAAATGCCCCACATATAACGGAAAATTGATGGTCAAATGCCCCAACCCCCGGATCATTCTGACTGTAATTCTATCAGTTCAAGTTTGGCTTGTGAGTTGTGTGAAAACATATACACTGAATTCTGAAAATAACTTCAACATTTTAGTAAATGAAACACTGTATTGACTGTATTAAAAAAATAACACCTCATGCTTTATAAAGTTTCCTAAAAGTATTTAAGGTATACTCCATTTTGAATTTTGAAGCTTTTTAATAATCCCTAATCCGCCACTCAATTTATACTGTTAACATACCCCGGGCATTTGACACCTTGCTCTATCCCCAGAGTTGGAAATTTGACCTTTTGAACTGCTGTTATATAGGATTATAACTTGACTAATCTACAGTGTAGCAAGTTAAGTTGAAATGTCTCCTCCAAAACCACTTATACTGTCCACTAATCTCACTCACCTGACTTTGCTGCTTGGATTGCTTGGCAAGACGTAAATTTTCTGGTGTGTCTGATACGACTGTGAATTTAGTAGTGGGATAATGACTAGAAATAATAGGCAACGTTTATATCAGTGAAAATAAATATATTTTTTAAGTTACAAATTGTTACAGATACCGAGTGGCAATCTCAAAATTTCATATAGATTAAAGGGATATGAATAACGTCTAGACTTAAATCATAAACACATTCACATGCTCATTTGACCATTAAAAACATGTCTACAGAGTACACTGAAAAAAAATTGCTGGTCGAATATTGCAGGGTGGAATAAAAAAAATATAAAATGTGAGATTCCACCAAGATAAGAATGTACATGTATACAGTATATGTACTATTTAAAAAACGAGCAGGAGTGTTTTATTAGGTTTAAAGCCACGAGCGCGCAGCGCGAGTGGCTTTAGACCTAATAAAACACGACCTGCGAGTTTTTTAAATGGCTTCAAAAACGTTTGCATAATAAGTCAAATCTTTATATAAAAATCTTTATATAAAAATCTTTATATAAAAATCTTTATATAAAAATCTTTATATAAAAATCTTTATATAGTTTGCATAACAATGGTATTTTGTTAAAGTGTTCTTTAGCTGATATAAAGACGTATGCACGTGACTAATTTCTTACTCAAGATTGGATAATTGCTTCATGAATTATTAATGAGTTTTTGAAGTACTATTTAAAATACGAGCAGGAGTGCTTTATCAGATATAAATCACGAGTGTTTTATATCTGATAAAGCACAAACTGCGAGTGTTTTAAATGACTTAACAAACGACCCATCTTATGAGTTCATTGGCGAAGTAATATATTTTAAAAATAAACGTTGTCTAAGCCGAGAAAATCAAAGCTAAAGTTTATGTAAATTAACATGATTTTTTATCATGTACAAAACCACCGACACGGTACTGAGTGATTTCTTTTGTCATTTCCTCATGAATTATTAATGTTTGAGTTTTTTAAGCCAATTTACTGCTGTGTTTCCATTTTGAACGAAATTTCAAGAATATTTAATCGTATGAATGTATGATAAAGTAAATCCAATTTCAAGGACTTTTTAAAGTATGATGATCAAGGAAAGCAAATAATTTTTGAGGCCAAATAGAGGAAATTTATGCATCAGATGATACAATAGACGACTGGACAATTAGAATTTGTACATCACATGATATATATGACTTAATATACCAGTCTAGTTTTTTTGCATTTCACACTGTTTCCAGCCCAAAACTTTCTCCCAACCAAAATTTAAAATCCTTTCTTGGAAACCAAAATATTTTCTTGGAACAACGTTCCCAGGATCCAGCGCTATTTCCAGGTCTGATTTGTGGGCTAAGGTAATCTAATAAGGGGATCTGATGTACTGTATGCTAAGGTAATATTAAAGAGCCTAGCTCTAGGTTGGTCTAAAGAAAGGACGTCTAACTCTAAGGTAAGCTAAGGTAGTCGAGATATTGTAGGCTAAATAAGATTAGTCTAATAATAATATTATAATAGTCACATGTTGTCCAGACCTGTCAAGGTTGCAAGTTAAACTTAAGTGAGAGCGGCAATTCAATTGTGCAGGAGGTTTTCACTTCTAGCATATATATTTTAAAGGTCACTCTATAGTATTCAGTGCTTGACAGTTTTTCCTGATATTTAACTTGGCATGGAATGGCTGATTTGAGGGTTTTTTCTTCTGATAATATTCAATAATCAGACAGATGCTTTATGCGCTATATATGGGGG